ATCATTCTTCTTTAAATGTTACACTTTGTGCTCTGGACATATTCTGTTCACGAGTTTACTCCATTCCTAGTAAATTTATTTAAAGAGCAGTATATATTAAAAATAATAATAAATGTAGTTAATACTTAAATGACATGTCTATTTTGAAGTAGTACCCTATTTCTATATAATGTAATTGTGATATTCATTCGTAGAATGCCATGTGACAAATTCATTCATTGCTTGGTGTCGCGCAGGAAGCACAAGAAAAAGTCAGCCCATAAAATGGGTCCCTTGGGGAAATTCTGTGGCCTCACTGAAAATGCAAAGCATGTAAAATAGCAACATAAAAATTATACAGTGCTCCAAGCTACTATAGAGGCCCTTAAAGTTCTCTAGTACGCTCAGAGACTAATGCAGAGAGTGATTTCATGCTTATTTTGGTTTTATTGTAACTCCTTAGTCCAATTTGGAATCAATTCTTGTTCTGTTAGACAATAAAAGTAAAACCCAACAACAAATATTGTATGCGCAGAGTAATTTCCCCACTGCTGCCAGTCGGACCTCTTCTGCCATTTCCTTTGGAAGAATCAATACTCAAAACCTAGAAACAAATTATGTGGGCAAGTATACGTATAGCTGTTGATGTCAGGCAAATATCTATTGTAACAGTGGAGACAAAGCTTCAAGCTTTATGTGCTTAGATATAAAGTTAATATAAAATTTTTATGGTCCTTAGGATTTAAAAAAATATATATAATTTGAGTTGGGAGAATAATCTTGACCACTACAGAAATAACTCAAAGATCTCTTGAAAAAGCTCACTGATTTCTCTATAGGCAATAACTGGCAGTTCAGTTAGACTTTCTTAGAACTGCTTGTTGTTTTTTTTTAATAAACTTGCATATAATTTTTTATGTGATCTCTCTGTGCAGTTTAATTTGTTTTATTGAATATATCTGGGGTATAGTATGGAAATACTTCTATTGGGAAGGCTCATCTAGCCTGTTTTTTGTGCATTTTTTGTTTTTTGTTTTCCCAAAAGTGGGAGTATAAAAATTTTTGTTAGTTTGTTTTTTAATATCTATTTTTTTTAAGTAATTGCAATTTGTAAAATGTGCATTTCTGCCCTGCTAGTTTTTACCCCAGTTATCTGGAATGCTTGCGGCTGTAAAGCTCTTCAGATGCATGGCTCCACGTTGTAAAAGAGACTAGGGTTCAACAAGAGCTTTTTTCCTTTATAGATCATCTAATAGAGAAGATTGCTTCTGTTACTTGCTGCAGTAATATTTCATTTCTGTTTCATCAGTCTGTCATATATGAAAGCTACTAGTAACAGTGTTTTTTAGGGGATAAGTCCCATAATGTATCATACTGATAACCTCCACACATCAGATAATTTAGAAAGCAGCTTGAAATTTACAGCACTGCCTTGTAACTATAAGTTACTGCTGGATATATATATATATTTATATATTTATATGTAATAACAAGACATTTTTCTCAGTGCTGTGAACTGACAGAATAAAGTTGGCTGGAATGAGTTGTCCTCCGTTAAGTATCATAAATCCCCAGACTGTGCGGTGCATCTTCTGGTTGTGCTTTGAGAAAGCACGGAGTGCTCCTGGCCATGCTCTCCCCTCTTTCCTGGCAGCCACTTGGCACCTCCTGCTCCCTGCAGCCGTGCTGGGGATGGAGGCAGGGGGCAGCCAGGAGGAACAGTGACCATGATCCCACAGCACAAAGCTGGGTTTGTTCTCCCCATGCTCCCAGCCACCCTTCCCTGGGCTGCTGTGAGAAGTATTTGTCTCCAGCAAGTCCAGAGCTGGAAAGGATGGAAGTTCGCACCCATGGTATGCATACCCCAGATCAACATCGCGCTGTCGAAACATGAAAATACTTCAGTAATTTTCTTTTTAATCTTAGCTGCCAGCCCGGAGTCGCTTTCCAGCAGCTATGCATGATGTGTGCCAGCTCGCTTCTGCTTATACTCTTGTTAAAATGTAAAGCAACAAATTTCCTGGCAGTCTCTGCAAAGTAGTATAATATAACTTTCATTAGGAGAAGGTGATGAGCATAATGTGACTTCTTAACAGCTGCAGTAAGTGATGTGAAGCTATTAACATCTTTTCAAAACAAGTAACAAGTGAAAGGTTACTTTTCATCTTTATTACTAAAAATGTCATGGTATTTTAAGCAGGTAATATTTTGTTTTCACTTATCCGATCTAAGTAAATTTTTATTATGAATTCTCTAGCTATGTGTTGCTTTGAAACTAAGAAAGCTTGAAAGATTCTGAAGTGTGCTTTAGTGGATGAATTTAAAAATGAAAATTTAGACAAATTTTATGTATGGAAATGACTGCTGCTAACAAGGGATTTTAGCTCACTTGTCCTTTAACAATTAGGTTTACGATTCACCAAGAATAGCCTATCCCACTGTTTATCTTTACATCAAATTATTTGGTTTTCACTTAAGTGTTCTTGAAAGGTGAAAGGTGAGACAGGAGTGATGCTTTGGAATTGCTTAATAAGTAACCGAGCTCTGTGGAGATGGGTAACCCACTGCGAGTACAAATGGGAAATGGAAGAGAAAGAATGAAGACCGTCAGCGTTGAGGTGCACAACCCAGTCAATTAGTAGGTGAGCAGAAAGGTTTAGGAAGTTGAGTATTCCGTATTAATAAGTGTGCTTGAAGTGTAGCTTGAACTCCAGAAGGACAGACGGGGTATTGTTCATTTTGGCATCTGAATCGCAGTTTGCATTGTTGTGTGACTGGCATAGTTCTCATGGAATTTAGTGGCTACCGTTTGTAGTCATAGAATGAGGTGGTAGCAAGGAATGGCAGTGGTTCTCCGACATGTCATGACACTTACTACATAGTGGTATTAAAAACAGGGTCAGCATTGCCTCTAGTTGAATGAATTCCTTCATATGCTGGAAAAGGTTATCAACCCAGAGGTAGGATCTGACTAGAGTATTTCATAAATATTACCCCAAATAGATGCCCAGGCACGCAGACTTGTTCTAACCTATGCTGTAGCTGAATAAAGGCAGAGCTGCACTAGCCAGCCTAGGATTTCAGTTTATCAGAAAGACATCAGCAGTACAGCTCAGTTCTGCAACCTCACCAAAGATATTTTTCAGATCTTTTGCATAGTTTATCTTTTATTTCTGCAAATATGTGATCACAGCCCACAGAAGTGGTGATTTAACTTTTTTGTTTTCTGGAGGATGTAACAGGATTATTTTTCTTCATGTGATTTACTCCTGCAAACAGAAATCAGGCTATTGTCTTCAAGAGTGGAAAGTTTGGAACCGAAAATACAATTTGGAAGTGAAACGTGTTTCAGCTGCAAGTAATATTAATAGTAATTGCCACTTAGTGATCTTTCAGTTGGTAGAAACAAACCATCAAAATGATAATTGTAGGACTGATTGGGATTTAGACTGATTAACAAACTAGCCAACCAAGTGGGCAGCATGTGTTGGGCCAGAACTCTGCCTCTTCTGAAGTCAGCAGAGCTGAACTGGCATCAGTGGAGCAAAGCCCATTTTACACCATTTGTCCGCAGAATAAACATATGCCATGTCAGAAATAGAAAGGCTGGAAAGAATTGCTGCATGGGCTGCTGCTGAGAAATAGCTGGAGAGGGATGTGAGGGGGACCAGGTTTCTTTACAGCCGGCTCATTTAGGGGTGCAGATGAGGCCAGTATGGCATTGTGGTGGGATCGAGAGTTGGACGCTGTAGTGCCACCAAGATGCTCTTGATATCATATTTCCTAGCTCGCTTCATTGGGTGAAAGAATTTGATATTCATTATAAATGGGAAAGAATTGAATGTTAAAGATTCCACATGAAATAAGCTAGTTTGAAAAAGTGCAAGAATTCAACTTGGTTTCCATTGAAGTTGAGGAAATTCAGTGCTATTTCGCTATTGCAAGTCAATTGAAATCTATTTGACTTTTTTAAAAGCTCTCCTTTAAAACTGTGTACTTTTATTTATTGGAAACACAGCCTAATATGTTCAGGGAATGTATAATACACAGTTTCTTTACAGACTACTTTGGAATTTTCGTTATAATCTTCTCAGTCACTGTAAAACTTTGCCTGATAGTACAGTGTTTACTTCGAGCTGTTCACCGCCTTAAATCTTGATTATTCTATTTTGTTCACATGTGGACTGGTTGTGAAATACCAGAACTAAGCTTAGCACTAAGAAAGAACCTCTGTAAGTGTGAAAAGCTAAAATACCTGGCTTTTGAAGTATGCTCACTCAAGCAAATCATCCTGTTTATGTGGTTTTGGGGCACGTGTGTGACCTCCGTTGTGTGACAGCCTATAGCCTCCATCACATAATTAGATTAAGCTTTCTTCATATGAAAAAGTTTTTAGATCATTCTTAAATTCTAAATGGGAATTGTACTGTAATCAGAACCTAATTTTCGTTTCTCATTACCTCCTGCCATTCTGTGATACGAGAACACTTTGTTCTCCACAAGAGTCTTCACTCAGAGCTTTGGTTTGTCACAGAAGTAATTAACTGGTAAAGACATTGGATTTTCTTAGACATCTTCATCAAGGCATGCAGGTGAACAGATCCCACAGCCAAGGATGGGTGTCCTTCCAGCTTAATGTGCCTCATTTACAGCCCCTGCTCTTGCCTGAAGGCACACTGACAGCCTTCCAGTTACAGGTGTGGGTTTGGATTCAGGAAATGCATCGTTCATCCCACACCAAACTTTAACGCTATGGGCTGTGTTAAATATTAGAAAATTACCATTGTAGAGCCTTTAGGTTTTTAAATGTGCCTGCTTATTTCCTCTAATTATATAGTTTACTTGATGTCTGTCTTTTTTGTGCGTCTATATTTAACATTACGCTCTACTTTCTTTGAATGACTTACAGGTGAAATACTTGGCTGTAAGTTTTATCTTATTTCCCATGTAACTGCATTTGTTTTAACAAAAGAAAATGAAACCTATGCAATCCTAACTGTTGTTTTCCCTTTTCTTCCTAGTTTGCTGTTTTGTGGTTCATAAGAGATGCCATGAGTTCGTCACTTTCTCATGTCCTGGAGCTGACAAGGGACCTGACACTGATGTAAGTACATTGGCATTTGATATGCTGCTCTTATGAATAGTTTTATGTTGCTGCACCTAACAGTGAGAACACATTGCAAACAATATCAGTAAGTTCTTTGTGGTAAATATTTATAATCCTAGTTATTTTTAAGTGCTCTGAATTGAATATTGAATATCTATGGACTTTAAACATTTATTTTTGGTTAGAAAATTAACTACAGATGAATGTGAGACCAAGATCAATATTCCTCAGAATGTGACAACCCTGAGGTGCTTACCCAAGCTTGAAGTCAGTGTTTTATTTTTGTTTGGTTTGTGTTGAATGTATTTGATGCTAACAATGCCCAGGAGAGGCTGCACATTTTTCTGAGCTTGTTTGTGTATCTGTCATATCTCAAGGTATAACCTCAAAGTTGACTCTGGTCCACGTCCTCTCTGCACACAGGGATCTGTAGCTCCAGCTACGTGCCAGTGATTAGATCCAATCTAATCTTGAGCCAGCAGACATATCTCAGATAGGTTGTTTGAAACTTGAATTATCTTTGTGCCTGAGATAGTACACCGGTCAGGATATACCCCTCCTATCTTGCCCTGTCAATACTTGCATATACAAGGAGCATTTTCAGTCAACAATCAGTCTTTACATTCAACACAACTGCCTACATGGAGAGGCATATATACAAGAATTTTGTGTCACCCTGCTGAAATAATAAACTAATTGTTTGTTCACATAAAAATAACATTTCTTTGGGATTTGTAAATTCCACTTTACAGTGAAGTAATTTAACATCTGCTTATGGGAACAATACATTCCAAGTGTTCTTTCTCTAAACGGCTCTGTTTTGTCTCTTATAACATATTCATGCTCTAGATTGTAGGCTATTATCTCCTCTGATGAAACACACCAGAAGACTTTTCTTACTAGGTTTTAATGAGCTTCTCATGAATTGTTTTAATATGCTAGACATGAGATCAATGAACAATATATGGGTAGAAGCTGTAAGAGGTTCTGGAAAATTAGAGATGTTAAAAACTTTTCTTATTTTTAAGCTCAAGTACAGGGAAATGTCCAAGAACTGGAAAGTATTTTTAAGACAGCTTGTTTTTTAAACACATTTCACATAATCTAAATTTAGGCACATAAGAAATGCTTAAGTTAAGAGCCGTGTGGCAGCAGACTGAAGTTGCTGGCAGAAACGCTGCAGTCCTTAACAGCCATTTCTTCTCTTCCTATCTTTCCCCCTTTCCCCGTCCCCACTTACTGGGAGTCCTGACCCCTCTCATTGATCTCCTCCTAACTGGTTTAACTTACTGCCCTCTGAAATCCTACTTGAAAACTTGAGGTTTGAGGAACTGAATTCAGAAGCAGAGAGCTGCAGCAACTTCACGGCAGCGTAACCCACAGGGGCATTGGGTCTGGATGGCAGTGGATGGAGAGTTTCTCTGCTGTATCAAAAGGCAGATTAGATTTGTAAAGTTACATGACATGACTCCAGTCCTAGATCCTTTGTATGTTGTTCAGGTAGGTAAGCAAGAAGAAGTGAAGCACAAAAAACTGTTTATTTTGAGGAAATGAAAGATGCTGCTTGCTTAACGGTACTGCTATCTTAATGACAGGTCCGCAAATGCGCCATAAACTTTACAGTATGATGTCATGAAATAGATATGCTAAATTTAAGTAGTTGTAATCATGAAAATATTGAAATTATTACAATAGGACCTTTGTTTAGGAGTTCCAAATGCAGCTGCATTTTAAAGAAACCGTCTTTCTCCAGAGATCACCTAGCTTCAATTGCTACTACTTTGGCAACAGCTTAAAATGGAAGAAGCTTCACAATATTCTGCATACCATTGCTAAAATCAACTTAATCAGATTAAAAATATAATTGTAACTGAAACCTTTCTTTTCACCTTTCCATCTCTTTCCATATTCTGTTCTGATCTCTCACAAAATGTTCCATTATGGATCTGTATCTCCAGACATCTTTTTCTTCCTGTTCACTTTCAGCTCTTAGCCTCTCTCCTCATCTCAAATTTTCGTCATCTTTCATCAGCTGCTCCTGCTGCAGCCCTGGTTACATACCGCAGTTTAAGCCTCGTGATACCCCAAAAGTACATTTGCTCCAGCAGTGCGATTCAAAGCATCTGTGCCAAGGGCCTTGCAGCGTACGGGTGTAGCCACCAGAAGTGAAGGAGATCCAAAGATCAAGTCAGGGTGTAAGACTCAGCAAATCTGGCTCCAAGCACGGAGCAGTTACTGATTACCTGTAAAGAATGTGGATGGTGCTGAGGTTTATTAGGCATGTTGAAAGGGACCAGGGGATAGGAAATGCCACTGCAGCTGCAATGCACTCCTTGGGAGCTTTGAGGGTTATTCTGAGCTGTATACAAAGCATCTCTTTCCCTTTAGTTTAGAGCACAGCTTCTTTGTAGGAAGTCACTTAACAGAGCCGAGGTCAATTTTTCTGACAGGAGTCAAAGGAAGAGACTTTAGCAGAATACCGTAGCAGTCAGAGCCCTTGCCTGGAAGATAAAGCAGGGTTTGCAGGCGTTCGTGCAGCCTCCCTGCCTGGCGCAGCCAGGGAGCTGGTCTGCAGCCTGGCTTCGGCTCATCGTGTTTGTAGCAGGCAGGCTCTTGGTGCATTTTATTAGGCAGGTGCACTTTATTTAGCAGGCTGTGCTGCAGAAACAATTGTGAAGGCAGGAACAAGAAGCCGAGATTATTTTTCATGCCCGTCCTTTTCTGAAAGCTCCTGAATTATTTAAACGTTGGAGGGATGTGTGGAAATTGGCTCTGTCTGAAAGGTGTAGCAATTAAAGCTGTCTTTTGGACTTTGGAAGTTGTGGATTTGAACTGCCCTGTGCTGCAGATGACTTTAGGCGTGGTCCAAGCACGCCTGCTCATTGGGGTGGCATTTGGGTGATTCTCCGACTATAACCCCATGTACACCTTCTGTATCAGGTGCCGGGCAGTGCCAGCACTGACGCTGCGTGAGCTGCTTTTCCAGAACCTCTCACCTGGACTTTGGTAGGAGCCCTTCACATATCAGCTGCTGTTGGTACCAGACCCAGTAAAGGGCAGCGTTATCAGTAAAAGCCAAGGCAGGCAATAGTGCCTACAGTATTAATGCTGACACACCTTCAGCCCAGCAGTCTTAGCAGCCATCAAGCTGGATGAAATGCAGCATCACCAGTATCAGTGCCAAAATGTTAGTGCTAAAGGGGGCCAGCACGTCAGCAACACACTCCTGTGCCTGTCCAGCTACTCCTCCTCTCAACACGGCTCATACCATTGCTGATTTGCTTTGGTCAGTCCTAAAAACGAAGCAGAACAAAACAAAACAAGTTTTGTTTTAACGCTCAGTTGTGAAATAAGATGTTTAAAAACAAGAATTGTTTGAAAATTTCAGCGGTGACACTTGTGGCTTGTTCTTCTGTATCTGCAGTGAACGGCTTGATTCTTGAATGGTTTTGATTTTTGTTAACCGTTTGTTTTTCCCTGGAGTTCGTAAATAAGAATGAACATTTGTGACACCATTTAAGTTTACCAAGAATCTCTTCCCTGTTTTAGAATCTGCTACGTGGCAGATTTTTAATAGTCTTTAATATTGCTGACTGTACTTCCTGATTTTATTTATTTATTTTTGCTTTCATGATTAAATATATAAACCAAATGCCTTATTTTAGTATTAGGGTTGCAAAATGATCATTTTCAATATTTACACAGAAGTGATATCTGAAAAACGCTTTTAAGATTAAAAGCAAACAGAAAATAAATGTTTTATTAAAACTGTGGTACATTAGTGGGTCCTATTAAACAAAGAGGATTGTAGAATGTTATACTTTAATTTACTGAAATGTTTGACTATTATGTCTGCCCTTTTACAGTTCAGTAACTTATTCCTATCCTAGTCAGTACAAGCTTAGTTCAGAAAAGTAATGTACTATGGAGCTTATCATAATATTTAGCAGATTTTTAAATATTTTAAAAGTCCTTTTCTAAATTGTTTTGTGCAAGTGCACCATTCATTTGAATATTCAAATTCTCCAGTGTCTTTGCCTTTCCATTAGTTGTAGGAGAGTGCAATATTGCCATTAATGTAAGAAAATTTCCAGGGCAGTGCAATACACAGGTTGCAGTTGTCTCTCTCTTGTCAAACATGTATAAAAAAAAAAAAAAAGAGAGAGAGATAAACATATCCACCTGCATAAATATATCTTCCTTATGTTTTTCTCAGGTGAGGAAATTTCTGCTTTTTTTGCAATCAGACATATCCTTGGAAATGTGCTGTTTTCTATTTATTTATTTATTTATTTATTTTTCCTGTAAGCTTTTTCAAGTGATAGACATTTATTATGAGAGATGGCAGTTTTTGTCTTACACAACACTGTGATGTTCGTAGCAAGAGCAGAGCGGAGCCAGCAGGTCGGAACCAAGGGACAGTGCGGGTCTGCTAACGAATGGCTTGGCATAGTCCGTGCTTGAGCCTTCCAGGGAGTATTGTTCTGCTTCAATAAAAGTTACAAGCTAGCACTCACTGCACTTTTCACATAAAGCAGGCAATCCTCACGAATATTTCATTGGAATGATTATCAGTCATATTTATTCTACTTGACAAGGAGACCCCAAAGTCTACCAGCCAGATAGATGCCTCGCAGCCAGTTAGCCGGGATTAGCATAAAAAAAACATTTCCATGTACAGGTTTCCCACTCAAACAAAATTGCCTTTTACAGCCACAGGAGGCAGTACTTGAAGGTGCGTATTCCCAAACGTCCTGCGGAGGTCTGGGTATCTAGGACATGATGGCAAGGATTTATTTATAGATTTGTCTTGAGGCGAGATGGTATGGCATTTACACTACAGGCCTCGAGGGATGTGGAGGGTTCCTGAGTGGTGAAGTTTGTTAATTGTTTACAAAGATCCAAAGGGGTTGGAAAACCCTTAGCTTTTGTAAGTGGTGTTCTGACTTCCATGGAAGCTGAATGTGTATACAAGGGAGAGGGCTTTAATTTTATTT